TGTTTAATATTTTGAAGGATTTTGATATCTCGACAAAATGACCCGTTTCCACAGGTTGGGTGTCTGGTAATTGCACTTTGTAAATATCTGCTTCCTTTTAAGCATACTTTTCTTGGAATAGGCTGTGAAAACCGGATAGAAGTCTTTCATTATGTCCTTCCAATGTACTTGCTGCCACAGGTGCACGTAAATTTATAAATGCAGTTGGAGGTAACATCAGCAGGGTACCTGTCCAGTTTTGATTGGCTTATAGAGTATATAGTGCTGTATAGTGTCACCAGCTTAGCTGTAGGGAAGCATCCTTTTATTGCTCCCTTCATCTTCTATTCAAACTTTTGTGATACTACTTCTCCTTTGAATGGAAAGCAAATGAACACTTTCTTCTTTTTTCAACTGTTGGATACTTCTCTTTCTCATTTGTTTCTCTGCTGTACTTTAGGATAAATCCCTTTGGAAACCCTTTCTCCTTAAGGCAATTTTCAACAAAACTTAATTCTTCGTCCACCTTGTTAGGCGACAATAACTTCCTGGCTCTGTTGTACAGTGACTGTCCTTATTAATCCCTGTTTATGGCTTATAAGACAGAAGCTATTTTATACTAAAAATTGTAATACTTATATTCCGGATGCGTTCATCTTATATTGTTTTCTCTATTGTGGTGAGAGCTGTCTGCTGGCCAAATTGGTAGACAGTAATTTACTTCAATGTTTACGTCCCCAATATTGGTCATGAGAAAAATAAGAACCAAGACTGATTCAACAACCATTCACAGCAGACTTTGCGTAGGCGGATACAATTTGCAGATAGATAATCTGAACTTCAAGAAACGGCTACAAAGAGATGAAAGATTAACTTTAAGCGAGAAACAACCACCAATCAGAAGACTGTGTTTGTTTGCTTACAATAATCAATAATAATAATGTACATGAAAATCTATAAATATCTGTTGATTTCCTAAATAAACGATCTGTGGCCTGGCCCTTGTCTTCTGTTGTTACACTATTACCTGTCAAACATTGAAGTATGAAATATTATTATTTATAATCATTATAATTTCAGGTAGTTCAAAGTCAGCTGATGAGAGCATGTGAAATAGAATGATGATGTCATTTTATAGTGAAAATCTGGTCATTGTTTCACTATCAAAACAAGCATTATTATTATTACTATTAGAAGTAGTAGTAGTAGTAGTGTAAGCGCAAATCGCTTGAAATTATTAAGTCACGAGTAGATGAAGGCTATCCCGGTCCAGAACAAACAAGAAGCCGGTCACTGTTTCTACCGTTCTATTAATAAACAAATCAATAATTATATCCATACAACAAACCTTAATGGTTTCAAGAGTATAAAGCACAACGCTTAACAGAACGCAAGGTACCGCTATCAGAGCGGAATAACGTTAAAGCCAAAATTTTGAACTAGCCGGAATCAGACACGACCGTTCAGGTAAGCAGTCAGTAGAAGAATGAACCCAAGTAAGAGATAGACAGAGTATAGGCACAAAGATAGAATTTAATTGGCTACTTAACCAACAAAAATCAATAGACTTCAATCTTCGCCTACCCCTACTTGACCTATCTAAATATGATTGGTCATTAGTATGTACTTTTGTTTTTATTTAACTGAGTGATTGTCATGAACTTTATTTTATTATTGTTAACCATGTTAGTTGTAAAGCGGTTGTAAAGAAACTACGAAATGATATCATCTCGCGAAATTTGTCTTCTTAATGCCTTATTCAAATTTATCAAAGGGACTAATTGTTTTAACCAATCAATAAATAATATAAACTCTACAGAATAGTACAAAATAAGTCATGGGTCAGCAAAATAACAGTTCACAAAATACTATGATTGGGTCATGAGTTCAACTGTCTGACTAAACTGATCGAAGTAAAAACACACACACAGTTCATTAAACAAGGTGGGATAGACACATTAGGCTTGGATAATAGGGTTGCAACAATGCTAGACTGATTCGGGACAGGTTGACTTGATTCAAGGATGGGAATTGATTTGATCTTACAAGTAGTATTATGACAACTTACCAATGATCTCTAAAGTTCTAGTAAATGAAAGAATTACTCTTTCGCTACTTCTCTCGATCAATGTGCATTCAATTGTCACGTGACCAGTTTCATGATAACCATAACTAGCATATTTTGGTTGAATATTAACCGTTTGACTGCATGAACTTAAAAATATCAAAGATTCGGCATTATCTGCATTACCGTCGACTACTTTTGCTATCCAATAGGCATCATAATTACGTTCAGCATTTGTTGGTAATGTGCCACATTTAAATGTATCGTGTGAACCGATTGAAGTTGTAACATTGAATTCATCAATACCATTAAGAGTTCCTTTCATATTTATATCTAAAAATAAAGGCATTAATCATAGATACATGTGTTTATTTATGAATACTCCATGTGAGACAAAACAACAAGGAATAAATGAATCTTGAGAAAAAAAAGTACTGTTATAAATTCCAGTGTCGAAATCCTACCACGTCTGGAGTAAGAAGTGTTTTGTGTGTTGTTGGTGGTGATTTGCGCAGGGAGCAGCAACATTTCGTCCTGCTTGAAGCTCGTCAAGTGCATTGCTGATGAGTGATGGTATTCGTAATGAAACCTACACTTATTGACCCTACCATTTCAAATAATAAAGCTCTGTCTACGAGGCTACTTGGCCACGACAGCTACTTTTCATGGAACGCGTATAAGTAGATATTTGTTGAAATTATTATTTTGGATTTCTTGTTGGTCGACTTTACGGGACAGAAATATCCCGTATAGTATGTGTGTTCAAGTGTTAATAGCTCACGGGGGATGCAGGTACTTCTCACTGTAGAAATGCTAATTATCAAAAAAATTTGGTAAGACTAGGCACATAAAGTCCGTCTGCAGCTGTCCAAATACTTATACTACCTAAGATTGCCATGATTCTTGAGATCTGCTTTTAACAATAATAATAAAGCTTGATTTCAGACAGCATGTGAGTATATATTACAGAAATTCTCTGCGAAGTTAGTTCAAAAAGTATTTCCTCTTCATACAGGATTTGCATTGTGGCTAGTGCTACTGATAAGACTTATCAGTAGTGTATAAACAAACGTTCATCAGCATAAAAACACCAAATAGCAGGGAGATACATTTGATTTCAGAGAAGGAAAAGTGATATAGCGTTATGAAGATACATGGGAGACGTTAAAAAAACACAAAGAAACACAAAATGAAGTCAAGAAGTACCACAACACGAAGATCTGTGCAAATGGTGCGTTGAAGATTTAAGGTGTACATAAATTGGCTGTATACAGATACCAGTTGAGAGAACCAATCCTTCAAATTTTCCCTTCATTTCCTTCAAGAATTACACAGTGTTTAGTTGGAAGTTAATTTAAATATTCGCTCCAGTTCATGTAGTGATCATTTAATATAATTACCCAATAGAAAACAATAAGAAACGTAGAAGAGTTTAGGCAGTATTTTGATGCATGGAAACTCTGGTAACCAAGTCATATAGAATTCTCAGCATGTGATATTGGTAGGCCAAATTTTGCAGGCTGACCATTGATATTAGGTGTGCGTCAGTGGCCGGGGATCAGACCCCGGACCATGTGCATGGTTGGCGAGAGTCCTAACGACTGTGCCACCGACGCACATTGTATAAACATTTGTTCAGAATAAAAGTATTATACACATATATATGCATATGTGTTTTTGATGTGGTTGTGTTCTCTGAGCTGGATAGTTAATTTGCGAAGCTTTCATCACCCTACTAGGTGACATCTTCAGCGCATACTTCAATTTGAAGTGAGCTTTCAGATTTCTCCACGAGTTTATTAATCATCTCTCCTGGTGACCTTGGACGTGATTGGTTGTTTTTGTGTGTTTTCACACCTTCTAGGTTACTTGTATTGTCACTCATTGTTTCTTTGACTTGAACTTTGACCCTTTGTGTGTGAGGTTTCTTTCTCATCGGTTGATAAATTTTGTCTATCTCGATGTGTCTATTGATTGATGATTCACTGGAATGCCAAGCTTCTAAAAATTCTCTAGCATTCTTGTTGTTTCCTCTGTCTAATATTTGAACGCTGGTTGTCCCAGTCGAATTGATGTCCGTGGTTGTCTGTATGTAGTGATGTGACGGAGTGGATATCATGTCTTTTGACAGCTAGCTTATGTTCGTGGATACGAAGACGAAGGGGACGTCCACTTTGGCCAATGTAGTGTTTTTTGCAGTTGATACAATCTATTTTGTAGATGATGTTGGTTTTATCTTCCTTCGCTGTTGAGTCTTTTGGTTGACATAGAATTGAGTGAAGTGACTTTGTTGGTTTGTGCACGACGTCAATTCCTAAAGGTTTGAAGAGTTTTGTAGTGATTTCTGAGATGTCCTTTATATATGGTAAGGTGATTTTCTTTGTGCTTTCCTTGGGGGCTTTTGGTTTGATAGGTTGGCTTGAGGGTATATGTCTTTTGATGAAATTCCGTGGATATCCATTCTTTTGGAAGACGTCCATGAGATATCTTTCTTCAATTTTCCTCAAGGTGGGAGTGCTGCAATGAGTCCTGGCCCTCTTGAATAGTGTTTGTATGCAATTCCTCTTGTGTGCTATTGGATTGTTGCTGTTGTAATTCAGGATTTGGTCTGTGTGAGTTGATTTTCTATAGACTTGAGTTTCTAATACCCCTGTGGTCAAAGGGTCAAAGTTCAAGACAAAGAAACAATGAGTTACAATACAAGTCACCTAGAAGGTGTGAAAACACACAAAAACAACCAATCAAGTTCAAGGTCACCAGGAGAGATGATTAATAAACTCGTGGAGAAATCTAAAAGCTCACTTCAAATTGAAGTATGCGCTGAAGATGCCACCTAGAAGGGTGATGAAAGCTTCGCAAATTAACCATCCAGCCCAGGGAATACAACCACATCAAAATCATCCACCTGAGCTACAAATCTTTTCTATCATATATATATATATGTGTATATACTCACCGATTACACTGAAAGTTTTATTGAATCCAAATTCAATTTCATTTAATGTATACTTCATAAGGCATTCAATGACAACTTGACCTGTTTTCCTGTAGGTATCTTGTTGTTTTGGTGGTCTAATAATCACTTTACCAGTACTCATATCTAAGTGTACAATATCTTCTTTGCTAGTAGTACTGCTGCTGACTATTCTACCACGCCAATATTGTTGTAGTGTTGTTGAATTATTATTATTATCCTCTTTAGGTAGAATTCCACATTCAAATGTTTTATTCGAGTTCACTTCTACAGTGATATTTGATTCATCAACACCATTCAGTGTACCTTTTCTATGTGAAGCTTTAGTTTTTGTGAAGAGAGAAAGGAAATGAAAGCAAAATGTAACCTAGAATCCAACGAATATATATACAGAAGACAAATTTGACACAAACTCTATTATATTATTATTATTGTTCCCTTGGGTTCCTAGTGGAACATAGGGCTTCAACTGCACACCTCCACTTGCTTCTGTCTTCTGCTGTACTTTTCACCTCCATCCATGTTAGTCCATGCTGTTTCAACTCTTCTTCACACGATTTCCTCCATGTCACCCATGGACGTCCCACTCGCCGCTTCCCTTTCGGGTTCCACTCGAGTGATGGCCTGACGCGCGATGTCACCAAGGGGACTCCTCAGCGAGTGTCTGATCCATCTCCACTTTCTCCTGCATATTTGTTGAGCGATTGGTTCTTGTTTTGTTTGTTCCCATAGTTTCTTGTTGGTGATTCTTTCCAGCCATCTGATCTTCAGTATAGAGCGAAGACAGTTGTTGTTGATTAAAGTCTGCAACAGGCTGTTGGAAATATTCTCTGTGACCCACCAAGTTTCTGATCCGTATAGAAGAACTGACTGACTTGACGTTTGTATTGAAAATCCGAATTTTGTTGTTGATGCTGAGTTGAGTGACGAAGATTTCCAGATTGGTTTCAGGTTGATGAATGTGTTTCTCGCCTTCCCGATTCTCGATTTGACATCCTCGTCCGTTCCTCGTGTAGTTGAGACAATGCTCCCTAGATAAGTGAATGAAGTAACCTCTTTCAAATCCCTTCCGTTGATGGTGATTGGCGCTGGATGTTGCTGCTGCTGTTGTTGTTGGTTGGTTGGTTGGTTATTTTCATAACCTCCGTCTTGTGTATGTTCACCTGGAGTCCTGTCTTCTCTGGCTGCTTCTTCGACCAGTTTGTCGGTTTCTGCTTGTAAGTCTTTTATTTTGTGTGACATCAAACATAAATCATCCGCAAAATCCAGGTCTTCTTGACACAAACTCTGGTTGATAATAATTATATAGACAATTTTATGAGGTGATATTGTGAAGAAGAAAAGACCGAGGAAGGTAAATATCGTATACCATATTTTCAAACTGCCATTTGTACATCATTTACCACATCCTTGACGAATTGGTCGAATATCGTCACATTCGATAGCTTCTTGGATTCTGCATCATATGCAACATTCTTCTTATGGTTCTCTTCTTTGATTGCTCTTTCCCGTGTGCAAAACATATTGTTACTTTTCTGAACTCGTTTCTGATATCCTACTTATATCGGATTATAAGTAGCATTCATCACAATATAAAGTGGTCAGAACACAGAGATCCAACCATGCTCCAACCCTCTATTGAGAAAGACGTTTATATCGATCGACCTACCCTACATGGGTGATCATAGCAGCTTTGCAACTAGACAAAGGTTGAAAGCTTAAGTTAAGAGGACTTTTTATGCAGATAGATCATATCAGATCAGAATAATTGAGAATATGAAGCCCATATATCCACCTAAGTACTCAGTGGGCACGCAAAATGATATTACACCCCAGTGTTTCTATCAATTTAAATGCACGCGTAGCCAGACACACACACACACAAGGAGAACTTGTCGACCTTCTCAAGTAGGCGCAAGCCTCAGAAGCTAATGAAATCACCTGAGCCCATTGATAATGAGGACAGACGACTTAGCTATTTTATTGCAAAACACATCATAGTGATTGGATATAAAATTGATATTTATACGCCTTTAGAACCTATCTATAAAACGTGTTCGGGGGGTATCCTAAAGTTTGTGGAATCCCTAACTGGCAATTAGGAAGTTAAGACCACTTTTATGCGTTGAAAGCAACAATTCCTTATAGCATTGAATTTTCTTTGGTAAACTTTGTTTTGATACCAGCCAGGATAGATGTACTGTTACCTTCCTTCTTTGGTTAAGTGATCTCCAGTGTTATTTTGACCTTCAATATATCCTTTGAACTTGACTTAAGTCTGTTTTCTCATCCCTTCGCAACTCTTTATTATTTACATTTAAATTCTCATTAGAAGTACCAGTGTTATCAGATTGTTCGAAATGCGCTGTACATGCACACTACACAGTCCAGATTAATTACATCTTCTTATTGTTTCACCAAAGTTATTTAGATGTTAGGAAACAATCAGCAGGAGATGAGATACTCACTAGGGACTTGCCCTATTAAGGTAGGTAGCGGCTTGGGGTTCTAGTGAGAAGTCGTGACCAGTAGGGTGCAGCAGGTCAGGTGTGAGGACAAATACTCGCCGAAGACATTGGCTAGCGGTTGCGCTATATCGTGAATTGGCAGAGGTTAGAATTCATGGGCCATTGGATTGGGTCCCAGTGGCTTAATGGTCTACGAGCAGCTCGCCTTGTAACCAGAAGGTCCTGGGTTCGAATCCTGATGGGTGCGTACTGATGAAGAGCCCCAAACTAGGACGAAATAGCTGTCCAGTACTCGCAGGTTTTCCAAGAGTTCTGTAACTAATCACAGCTCATGATGAAAATCCTGTAATCAGCAGGAAGCCCCACCTCACCTAGGTTACTTTCTTTCTTACTCACACCTCTGCATCATCTCCCTACTCAATTATTTGTGACCTTGAACCGTACACAATCTGACCTGTATTGTATTGATTCATGCTTTCTTGCCTTCTATAAAAACTGTGTATGACAAGTACTGGTGTGCGTGCGTGCATGCGTGTGTGTGTGTGATCAGAATGTCCGAAATGTCTTGCGCAAATACACACTACATTACACACGTTTCAGATAAACGACTTCGTCTTATTGTCTTGTCGAAATTCATCAGAGGGAATCAAATTGCTTTAAATAAGTCATATCCCTATAAACAAACACTTGTAAAAAGTAGATTGAAAATCCCCATTGAGTCATATGAAAAAGAGAAGACATTCAGCGAAGAGACTCTTTTGACGGCGAATTCATTCACATAGCTGTACAATCGCATTCATATATAAATATTTATGTGTGTGTGTACATGAGGTTTGTCAAGTTTAGATAATTGATTAGTTAATACAAGAATGATGTAGTATAGAGACAAAGTTAATCAGACAGCAACTAAAGTAAGACTGAGTTAAAAAACTAGATGACGTAATATAACTGGCTAAAATGTTACAACTTAGGTCAGGATAGCAATAGAGGTAATTACAGGTAGAGATTAAGTAGAAGTGAAATTGAGTGAATAAGTTGGATGACGTAACATGAATGAGCGTTGTTCAAGTCAGTAACAGTGGTAGTGGGGTGTAGAAATTGAATCGGGTGGGGGTAGAGAACAAGAAAAAACTACTCTAAATGAACCTCCAATTCAATGGAGATCTATCTGCGGAAACACTAAAAAATCGACTGTCGCGCTCACTTAAGAAGACCTTCTTCGCAGCTGAACTACGACTAACCTTCTCCACAAAACCTATGATTCATGTGAACGTGAAGGATAAGCTACCGCTGCTGGCCTCATCAATGTGCATTTATCAATTCACCTGCTCGTGTGGAGCCAGGTATGTCGGCCGTACCCAGCGCTCGCTTTCCAAACGTATCACCGAGCACTTACCAACATGGTTTTACAAGGTAGAAAATCGATGCCCCCGCAGTTCCATCTTAGAACATCTGATAGAATCTGGACACCAAGCTACACCGCAAACAAACTTCAAAGTCGTCTACAGAGTAAGAGGTGGTCTCCCTAAAGGTGTACGAATCAGACTTCTTCAAACTGCAGAAGCAATGGCGATTCACCTGCTAAGTCCTGAACTCTGCATACAGAAGAAGTTCGTTCAATCACTACACTTGCAATGGACGTAATCTGTCTTATTAGCCGACATATAAATTCTACCTAATCTTTTCTTCTGTCTATTCATTAGTATTATTTTGTCTTCTCAATTGTAACTGTAAGCGCAATATCGCTTGAAATTAAGTCACGCGTAGATAAAGGCTATCCCGGTCCAGAACAAACAAGAAGCCGGTCACTGTTTCTACGGTACTATTAATTAACAAATCAATAAATATATATACAACAAACCTTAACGGTTTCAAGAGTACAATACACAATGCTTAACAGAAAGCAAGGAACCGCTATCAGAGCGGAATAACGTTAAAGCCAAAATTACGAACTAGCCGGATCAGACACGACCGTTCAGGTAAGCAGTCAGTTGAAGAATGAACCCAAGTAAGAGATAAACAAAGCATAGGCACAAAGATAGAATTTAATTGGCTACTTAACCAATCAATAAATAAGATAAACTCAACAGAATAATACAAATAAGACATGGGTCAGCAAAATAACAGTTCACAAAATACTCTGATTGGGTCATGAGTTCAACTGTCTGACTAAACTGATCGAAGTAAAAACACACATACACAGTTAATTAAACAAGGTGGGATAGACACGTTGGGCATGGATAATTGTGTTGCAACAATGCTAGGCTGATCCGGGACAGGTTGACTTGATTCAAGGATAGGAATTGAATTGATCTTACAGTAACATTTTACATTTTCAACTTTCTTGTTCTCTACCCCCACCCGATTCAATCTCTACACTCCACTACCACTGTTACTGACTTGAACATCGCTCAGTTTCTAGTCATTTACGTTACGTCATCCAACTTATTTACTCAATTTCACTTCTACTTAATCTCTACCTGTAATTACCTCTATTGCTATCCTGACCTAAGTTGTAACATTTTAGCCAGTTATATTACGTCATCTAGTTTTTTAACTCAGTCTTACTTTAGTTGCTGTCTGATTAACTTTGTCTCTATACTACATCATTCTTGTACTAACTAATCAATTATCTAAACTTGACAAACCTCATGTACACACACACATAAATATTTATATATGAATGCGATTGTACAGCTATGTGAATGAATTCGCCGAAAAGAGTCTCTTCGCTGAATGTCTCCACTTGTAAAAAGCACATTTATAAAAGAAAGAAAAATATCCTACCTATAATATAAATATTTTTTATAGCAGAATAAACTAGAGTATTATTTGTTTTATTGAGTAGTGTACATTGAACTTCAACATGACCAACTTTTTCATAGACTGTTTTATCAAATGGTGGTCTAAATAGTGGTTCGGTATAATTATTATTACCATCATCAATAGCAATTATATCGCTATCCCCATTGATTATATCTACTTTCCAATATGTATCATCAGTGGATGATTCATCGAGTGAATAAGCATAACAACTACCTCTTGTAGATGAACCAGTATAAAAATAGGTATCCTTTTTACTGTATACATTCAATGCAACTGGATTGTCTTTAACTGAAAAAATTAGTAATAAATTTGAAAAAAGGACATTATTAATAATAGTATAAAATGCTCGAGTTAGACTTTATTATTATTATTGTTATTACTTCTTTTAGTTCCTAGAGGAACATAGGGCTTCAGTTGCACGTGTCTCCATTGCGTTCGGTTCTCTGTCAACGTCTTCATATGGCTCCAAGTCTACCCGCACACTTTCATCTCCTCTTCACATGACCTCTTCCTACTCAATAACAGCCTCTCACTGACGATCAACTAACTCGCCTCTTCCCATTCGGGTTCCAGTCAAGCGATGGCCTGGCGTGTGATGTCACTCACTTGATGGTTTCCTCAAAGTATGGCCAATGCATCTCCATTTATTCCTGCCTATTTGCTTCACAATCGGTTCCTGGTTGGTTCGCTCATCGCCAGGGATCTCTGTTGCTGATCTTTCTGGCCGGGCATTTGATCTTGAGTAGTATTGAGCGAAGACAACCGTAAATAAAGGTCTGCAGTTTGTTTGAGGTGCTCTTCATGACGCGCCAAGTCTCTGATCCGCATAGTAGCACTGAATTCACATTGGAGTTGAAAATCCAGATCTTATTTTCGTTTTCATGGTGAGTGCTGTTTACCTCCACGCAGACTTGAGAATAGTGAAAGCTTGTCTTGCTTTCCCGATTCTTCCTTTGATATCCTCGTCAGTTCCGCCTGTAGTTGAAACGATGCTTCCCAGGTATGTGGGTAAAGGAGGTTGTTTTTTCAGGTTCCTCCCATTTATGCTGATTGGTGTCTGTTGTTGTTGTTGCTGTTGGTGTTTCCCAGGAATCTTTATCACCTCTCTTTTCTCTATGTTCGCCTGAAGTCCTATGTTTGATGCTTCTTCTGCCAACTTGATGCTTTTCACTTGCATATCATCGAGTTTGTGTGAAATCAGACATATATCATTGGCGAAGTCCAGATCCTCCAAGTTTCCTCATTGCCCGCTGGTTGTCGCATTAACCAGTCTACTGCAATCAGGAAAATCACTGGTGATAGTAGGCAGGCAGCCAGCCTTGTCTTACTCCCGTCTTTAATTCGAAGGATTCCGTAAATTTCCCGTTGTGGATTACTTGGCATGCAGCATTGTCGTACAGCTGTTGGATAAGATGTATAATTGCTGGCGGCACGCCGTAGTAACGAAGTAGTTGCCAAATCACCTCTCGATCGACGCTGTCGAAGGCCTTTTCAAAGTCGATGGAGTTGCGATAGAGAGGTGACTGACATTCCAAGCTTTGTTCAATGATAATCCGCAGTGTGGCGGTTTGATAAATACATCACTTCTCCTTTCTTTGACAGTTTGAATAAGTATCCTTTCTTCCATTCCTCGGGTACCTTGTCCTCTTTCCACACCTTCTCCAGTAGTGACGTCATCAAATCCGCTGTTGTCTTTGAATGCATAATACTGTAAGGATTTGTTGAAGTTTTAGGAAGATTTACTCACATACACACAAACACACGCATTACAATCATGCATCTTCAGAAGTAAAAAAACATTTACACATTAAAAATGAATGAATTATTGAATACTTACGTATAACATTTATCCATCTATAATAGGTTAATAGTGTTTTCCGAGATTTTTGTTGAATTAAAGAACATTGAACTCGTACTGATCCTAAATAATCGAAACCATTTGAACGTGGTGGAAGAAAGTATGTGTCTGATGCATTTCTTGATACTTTGACTAAAACTGATATACCCTCAATAATTTTACCATTCCAATAACCATTCACTTGGTTTTGCTATACTTGGATATAAATAACTACATTTAATTTTATCTTTGGACAAGTAAAATGACATCAACATCACCTGTAGTTTTACCATCTAATGAACCATAATCACCATCTGATTTTTTAGAAAAAAAAATAGAATGAGGGGTAATTCACTTCAATGAAAGAGGTAAAAGTCAGATTTAACAAAAATCCCTGATATAAGAATAAAACTTGTGCACTGTGGAAGAGTGTAATTACATTATGGGTAAATTTTGTTTTGATAAAGTCCCACAGCGTTATACAGTAATGTTTACTGATGACGTTTCGAGCACAATTTATTACTGCTCATATTCATATCAAGCTAATCACACGACTTCTTAAATTCATTTATATAGTTCCATTGTTTTTCACTTGATTTTCACTTGATTTGATTGGTAGTAATATTTTCCATATTTCGGGGTATGAGTTATGAATCATTCCTATTGCATGTGTTGGGTGTAGATTCGATGAACAAGGATTCAGTAATCAACCTCTCTCTCCACCTACCTAGATTACTTTTTAGAATTTTAACCCTCTCACACCCTATTGTGTGGACAAGGGGTGGACGTATTTTTTTTAGGTACATAGCGTAGGTTTGAGCTTTTGGATAGCTAGTGCCTCGGCTATACTTATATGTTTTGATTTCACTCCCTTTGATAGGTTTGAACGAATCTTCTATATTATTTTGCAGGATTTTTCGAATAGCGCTGAATGTCCTGAATTGACCAGGTGTTCTGTCACTGAACTATATACACGTTTTCTTTCTCCTTTTACTAGCCAATCTGGATAGTGTTCACGAGCACGTTGTTCAAGTTGGTGCATGGTACGGTCGATGTACTCAGCTCTACACGAGCAAGTAAACTGGTATATGCACGCTGAAGTGGCCTTATGTGACAGCTTGTCTTTCACGTTCTGACTGAAAAGTTTCTTTCAGGAAAATGTCAGTCGTAGGTTTTCGGCGAAGTATGATTTCCCCGATGGTTTGTAGAGACGTTTACGAAGGATTTCTGCTTCAGTGTCACCTTTGAATTCTAGATTAAGCAGAAGTATTTTCTTTGGGACGGATTGGACTTGTTCTGAAGTCTTCTTCGGTTTGAGATTCTTGTCTGTGAACCTAGGAGGAAAACCGTTTTCCATCAGATTTCCTCTGAGATTACGCAGTTCTTCGCCAATCAATTCCTTACTGCATATCTTCCGAATCCTCGAGGAAAGAGCGTATATCAGCTTCCTCCTTCTGCTCAGAGACACAAAGCTTTGAAAGTTGATGAATTGTCCATTCCATGTAGGCTTTTTGTATATGGACCTTTTCAGAGAGTTCTTGGCGTTTCTTGTCAGATGGACGTCGATAAAGTGGAACATTCCGTCGGATTCAGCTTCAAGAGTAAAGCCGAAGTTTTGGTGGGCATTGTTAAAAGTTTAAAGTAAGTTTTCAAGGTCCAGGTTCTCACTGCAATTGATGAAAGTATCATCAATGTAACATTAGTAAAGATGGAGGTCAGTGATAGCCGATGACAAGAAGATGTTTTCGAGGCTGGCCATAAAACAGTAGTCCAAGAGGGGGTCCCAGTGGAGAGCCCATGGTTACGCCATCTGTTTTCGGTATTTAAATCTTCTGGCTTACTATTCAGGGATTCATGGGCTGGTTATATAGACATTTAACTAAACTTATCTTTACCACCAATTCTGGAATCGCTATCTGTTTGTGTGATATTTGGAATAAACTTATTCAATATGGAATGACAATAATTATTATGAACTGTGATCAAGATTTGAGCGAATAATTCCAAATGGAATAACAATAGTCTGTTTATGAATGTTGTTGAAGTATTTCTATCCATGTTGCTTCATCTCATTCAAAACTGACGTCGATGACTGGCGATGAGGGGTTGGTTTGTAATCTCTCTATTTTTGTTATTTCTACATTTCTAACCCCCGATTGCACAATATGTTAGTCTTCTCAGTAATTATGATGCTACTTTGTTTGAGTTTTATCCGTCCGCCCCACTGTTTGTTATGGCATTTTAATTCCTAATTGTAATTTTATTAATTTGACCGTTAACCGGAAATTGTTCTGGAACTTTCCCATCCATTTGTTATAAATACACGAATGTACAGCCTAGTTGACGGTGACTTCGTCGAAAAGAAACTA